GCTGTTTCTGTTCCAGTTAATGACTGTGTTTCAACCTACATATGAAATTGATGATCATTAGGACCTGCTTGGTATAATTGATTAATCATACCCCTGACTCTAATCCTACAAGATCCCTGACTTTGTGCAAGTGTACAAAGTGTGCAGTTTGAATCCTGTGTATTTGTGCTTGCTTGCATCCTACAAGATCCCTGACTTTGTGCAAGTGTACAAAGTGTGCAAGTGTAAGAATTGATGCTGGTTTGAGGCCAAAGGGTAGTCACACCAAATATTGATTTGATTTAGATGTTTCTTCTGTTCGCTCACTTTGCATTTTGTAAATTGACGAACATAAACAATTACAATATATATTTTTGAAAGCATTCTTACTTTACACCATTTTTTCACGCCTGCCTAAAACTTTTGCACAGTACTGTATATCCAGAAATTATATTAACAGAAATTGTTTCCCAAAGGGGCACAAACAAAAATCAATGTCTTGTGACTAAGAGACATTTTTGTTTGAATCCTGTGTATTTGTGCTTGCTTGCTTGATTATGGAAGTTCTTTACCCAAGTCTGTTTCTTTGTTGATAATATATTTTTTGCACAGTCATTTTATTTATTTATTTATACAGCAATTTGTTTAATGGCACACTCTAGTCAATCGTGACTATCTTCAGGCTACAGAAGAGAGAAAAAAATACTTCCGTAAATGTTTTCTTTCTTTCTTTCTCTCTTCTGTTTTGCAAGGTGGAAGAGATGGTGCAGAACCACATGACGTATTCATTACAGGATGTGGGGGGTGATGCTAATTGGCAACTAGTAGTTGAAGAAGGTGAAATGAAGGTAGGCAGAATATTTCATATTTTAGAAATATACTAAAATAAATAATAATTTAGTCAAAGAGTTGCTAATTTCCCTGAGGGTGTTAATTCACTAAAAGGGTTGAAACTACATCCCCAGATTTAGTTTAAGCTTCAGGCTACTATGCTTTCGCTATTTAGAATGATTGTTTCTCTCCATCTAGAGTCATGTGTACAGTTCTAGTCTGCACACTTGGAAAACAGTATGACAGTGCTAGAAAAGTACAAAAATGTTCCCAAAATTCTCAGGGGACTCAACTCCTTCTGTACTGCAAAAGGTTAGAAAGTTTGGGACTTTGTAACTTGAAAAAAGGATAACATGATTGAGCTGAATGTAATAATATGTAGAATGGAGAACATGGACAGGAAGATGTTTTTCTCTTGTCAAAATATTAGGACTTATAAAGTTGATGGGAAAGGTATTTAAGATCAACAAAATGAAGCACTTCTGTGTACAGTGCATAATTAACCTATGAAATTCATTAACAGTAGATGTGATGATCACTAACTTGGATAATGATAAAAGGGAACTAAATAAATTCATTGAGGACAGGTCTATTAAGGGCTATTGGTCTTAAAAATTCAATATTATCTCCAGGGTGGGGGCAGCATGTCTACAGATGCCAGTTACAGAGGAACAATATGGGACAAGGTTATATATCCATCCCCAACTTATGAACACCCCAGAGGTATCAGTGGCCATTGTGAGAAAAAAAAAATGCTGGAATAAGATGGGCCTTGGTCTGCTCCAGAAAGTCAGTTCTTATGTTCCGTATTTAAATGAATGACATTTTTACTGTAATTTTACTAATCCAGTATTATTCCTACTAATTTAGCATCATTTCAAAAGTGAATTTAGAATACAAAAGAAAACATCTTCAAATATTTTATGTTTATTCAAAGGTGTACAGGAGGGAGGTAGAAGAAAATGGCATTGTTCTAGATCCGTTGAAGGCCACACATGCAGTCAAGGGGGTTACAGGGCATGAGGTCTGCCACTACTTCTGGAATGTTGATGTTCGCAATGATTGGGAAAGTAAGTAAACTTTGTTTGTTTATTTATATTTGTTACTGTTTGGCTCAGAAAACAACACCTAGCAACTCTCAATTTAGTTTCTCCCACTTGGTCCAGCTCCTGATTTCCAGCTAACATGTCTGGGAATTCTGGGAGTTGCAGTTCCAACTCATTCAGAGGGCACCAATTTAGGTAATTTCTGGTCTAGCTGGTGTGTGAAAATATTATTGCTACAATTTAATTATTTTGTTTTCATTATTATTTTTTCTTGTCTTGTCTTTAGCAACCATTGAAAATTTCCGTGTTGTAGAAACTCTAGCTGATAATGCAATCATCATCTACCAAACACATAAGGTAATGCTTCACATTGTTACATAATATTTCAAAATACTGTAAGTGCTATGAAGAAAGAAAGCAATCTAAAGATCATAAATTTCTATCTTATCTGGTTTTTCCTGTTAAAACATTGCCTGACTCATCAGGAACAATTAGAGAGTTAAAGATAGATGTTTGTTATTGTTTCCTTAAGTCTGGTAAGAAGTTTCCTTAATCGATCATGGATTTTGGTATTCAGGTGTTTGCTTTTTGAGAAGCAGGTGCAACAATAATTGAGGAAAAGCCATAGCTCAGTGATAGAACCTACGCTTTGCATTCCAAAGGCCAATGTTCATTCTTTCTCCACACACTATGTATCTGTGAGTGGGTGACAGGAAGGAAATCATTTCCGAAATCATGATTTAAAAATTATTTCTAAAATGATGTCCTAATTATCATGTTGCATTGAAAGCCAATATAATGGCTAAGACTGAGGTACAAATCTGGATGTCTTCAACTTGAATCTGCTTTTTGCCATGATTTCCAGAGGGTAACTGATTTTTGCAATAAAAACACAAGAATCTTACAGTGTCTTTATATTAACCAATTTATTAAAATTGTTTTCATTTATTTATTTACTTACTTTTGTTGAATTTATCTGCATCCTCATCTTTTGACCAGCAGCTTAAGGTACCTAGTATACATGCTCCTCTATTTTATTCTTCCAACAAATCTGAAAATTAGGGTGGACAGAGAAAAAATGATTAATGCAAAGTAACTAGACATGTGAATTCTAACTTGGCATTCATTATACCATTTTGGCTGTGGCATAAGATACTTCATTAAATGCATGGATATAATTCTTAGAGAGGAGTATTGTTGTTATTATATATACATACGCAAACAGTTGTAAAGATGGAAACATTAAAAGGAAAATAAAATATAGGAAATATAACCAAGAAATTACCTGTTGAAAGTCATCTCCACACATTTATTTTTTATTTTTGTCTTGCATTGATCAGTCCATACCTATGTAGTATGTAATAAAATTGTCTATAAACTTATTTTTCTTGAGGTTAGCGGCAAATGATTTGGGGAAACTGAAGCGTTCCCCTGTTGGTTTTTGTATCTTGCCATTTAAAATCATCAGATCGGGGTCCAAATACTCTTTTGCTTATAGACTGACCAGTTTGTCCTATTTGGATTGTAGTGGGCCAGTGCTCTGCGCAAGTGTGGGCAGGAGCTTGTGGAAGAATTCTCTTTCATCCTCTTGTGTGTAGTTCATCTTGTTCACAGCTGGCTTCCTTAATAATGAGGTCACAATTACTCTTGTGATTCTGGATGGCAACACATTCTGCACTGCTGGCTGTAATAAATGTTGGCAATTACTGATTATCGTTGTTTGGATGTAATGCTGAAACACTCTTTGTAAAAATTATGACAAAAGTGTGCAAAATATTCCATCATGGAATATTCTGATCTTAAAATGTACCATTCCAAGTCATTCAATCTCTGCAATATGGGTTTAACAATACTGAGGTAAATTACAGGTTTGCTTCAAGGATTAGAACAAGAAAATGTGATTTTAAAATCAAAGGAACTTTTCAGTATTACAGAAAACTCATATCCAGCTGTCTTGAAACTCTCAGAGTATGGAGTATTGGGGATCTGAACTTAATGACTCAGCTTTGAACTCTTTATATAATTCCCTTTAAATCTATGTAGGCACATCATCAAAAATCAGACTTAAAAATAATAAATATTATTAAATAAATAAATATTATTTTTCTCTTCTAAAAATTAGATTATGCCAATCCAGATCTTCATTTATTGTATTGGAGGGGTTGGTAGCAATGTCTATTTAATTATTCATTTTGATTTTAAGCAAATTAGAAATAACTACTCAATGAATTTTGGCAATCTCTCATTAGTTATCTAAGATCTATAAAACATTGCAACACAAATGATTGCTGTATTGTCTAAAATCTATAAAGCATTGCAACACAGTTTTTTGCTGTAAAATTGAAAGGTACTTTGAATTGATGGTAAGTAAAAGTTTGGAATATTGCATTGGCTAGAAGATTAACACAATATGAGAATCTTGAAGAACTGTTCAGTTTAAAAGGTTTTTGCTTTTCAATGTGTGCTTTTGCTTTTCATTTTCAGACAAGGTTGTCTTGTTTTAACTTATAAACCAAGTATTTTGTAATAGTATAGTTTGTTTGTCTACATGTCGTCTTGGGTAGAACCATTGAATGTGGGTCGTTCTTTTTTATATTTTTCTTTAAAACTATATATATAACAATCAGTATC